GAGCTATTTCAGGGCTTAATAGGGGTCCTTTCGGACCCTTTCCACGTTTGCACCGCGGCTTCAGCTGTTCTCCAAAGCGATTGGTCCCTCCCTGCCGGGCTGAGGGTCAGTGGGTGCATCGGGAAACGGAGGCCGCAGAGGGCTGGCAGACACCTGAGAGTGATGATGAGAAGAGGTTGTTGTCTTTTTCAATCTTAACATTTCCACCAACACAATGGATTTTTTTTAGTTGCCATCATTTTGATATCGGAGAGCAGCAGGATAACAGGAAATTAGTTTAGAGGGGAGGACGGAGGGAAGCGCCACCTTCAGACTCGACCCAGCAAAGCTGTAATTACATGGTCAGCACCGTAACTTTCTTTTCCTTCATTTATTGATTTATATTTCCTTTTTTCAAACTGTACATCATATGTTTTTACATGCTTCTAACCGCCGTCATGATCAATTTTGTGTTACTTGTTTATTGGTATTTTCTTGATTAATCTATATTGGTAGTGAGTTAATTCCTGTAAAATTGTACCTGAATCCAAAAGGAAAAGAAGCAGAGACACTAGACTAGACTAGAGTGTTTTAAAATATCCACTTAATCGTGTATGTACTGTAAACACTTTCACCAGTCTGCACGACCAAAGGTCGCATGGAAAAAGCAGCGCAAGAAAAGGGTTTGAAAAAAAGGCCACAGTATGTTTTCACAGATAATCAGCACAGACCTCCATGTCCGTATGCTGCACACATACAATGATCAAATTAAACCAGCAACACACGGATTTACACTAAAATACATTCTGTAAAACCCAGACTAGATCAAACTGTCTGTATATTTAAAAATAAAAAGAATTCCATGGAAAAAAAGATGATTTAATCTGAGTAGATGTGGATTTGTGAATCATATGTGACAGCAGGAGGAGCAGAAGGTAACCTTTGAAAATGACACACAGTCAGACACAGTGTAAGCGTAAAGGTTGTTTTTTTAGAAAATCCTCTCGCATCCTGTTGTCTAGCCCCTTTTTTTCTACTGTACTGCTACGTTACATGGCGGGCAGAGAGAGAAGTGTTAACGTGGTCCCGTGTGGTGACAAATCCACAAACAGATGATCACTCAGCTCTGCAGTTCCTCTCAACTTCACAGAGGGTTTTGGGATTTTTCAACTTGCAAATTTACTGTTTTGGTTAACTCTTATCTCTTTCATGAACTTTGTTTGTAGAAGCAGCTGTTATCTGCACCGAACTGCACGGACAAAGTTAGCAATGCGCTAGTGAGCAGAGTGGAGCAATAAACAAATAAAGGCCAGGATATTCCTTGTGCTTTTGAGTGGGTGGAGTTTAGAGCTAAAAGGAGAGTGAATATTCTCTGTAACGCTACTTATACTTAATAGCAGTTATTTTTATCTAAGGGCCCAAATAAGGGCGCCTTCCAGCGCCATGAGACAGGTGGAAGCGGCATGAAGCACCGCAAAGTGCTGCCAGACACATACACAAGGAGAGAGAGAGAGAAAGAGAGAGAGGGAGAGAAGATGAGTCCACAGGCCAAATTAACATTCGGTTCCCTTTAAGGAGCCAGAATGCTCACAACTACTTTGGACTTGTCATGTAGCCATATGCACGACTCTAATGAACACTAATGATCCTCTGTGTCACCTGGATCTGTAAATAGGGAACTGTTTGCACACATGTGATGCATATTGGTCTTAGCAGCTTGCTGCACTGCCCCGAAGGTGGAGAAACAATATCCCCATTGGTTCATTTCTACAGATGCATTTGATGACGTCGTTGTGTCTATAATAGAAACCGAAAGCAGATTGTTTTTGGGAGGAAAAATATTGTTAACAAAAAGGTGAATCTATAGCTGCTAAATATGCAAAATATTGCACAGCAGCTGCAAACAGATATAAAATATCAAAGCTGCCCTAACCAGTTATGAGCATTAAAATAAATTCCATAGTTTAAGAAACAGCTGTTCTCAAACATCTGCAGTGATTTTATAGTTTTAATCCATCTAGTTAAGCTTAGCCAACCAAACTCAAGCCTAGTGAAGACCAAGACGATTCTGTTGCCAATCATAGTGAATTGTACAATAATTCGTTGTTGCATTGTTTTTAAGATCAGACTACCTTAAGGTGCTGCAGGTTGGTGAAACTATTCAAAGGTAGACCCATGGAAGATCAATTAATAATGTACTTGACACAGTTTTGTTGAACAACACGTTATTTAGTGATAATTGTCTGCATGTTAATAATGTGATCCGAAGCCACGCTGCAGCCTATACGCAGTGTTCCCACTGAATATGTATTTCTGACTACACAGAGGAAAAACATGTCATTTAATCATCAATGTGTTTCCAATCGTCATTGCTTAAGTAGGATGAACAAACCCGATGTGGTGTACATGAGGCACGAGAGGCTTTCTGCAGAGAGGCAAGCTGAACGCATGTTAGTCAGAGTTCAAACCCTACGGGCCATTCAGGTAGTAGGGCAACTTAAGGGGAACAACTATCTGTGTCAAAAGTGGGACTGCAAGGCAGCTTTTTCTATGTCGCCAGAGTCTCATGAGCGACACAAAAGGTTGTTGTATTTTCCTGATCTGGTGTGTGCATTTTCACACTGAAGGATTCTGTTATTGATTAAACCCCAGATTGAATTAGTTATATTCTTACAAACTGGTTGTGTTACTTGACTTTGCATATATTCGATTGACCTTACACCAGTAATATTATATTTATTGTATTCCATGTTTCACTAGTTTCTTAAGTTCAACAGGTGGAATCTGCGGTATTACCCAGGTTAATATTTAGATGCATTACTATTTTGAAAATAATATTCATTATCGCAAAAGACATTTTGATCTTTTACATTTGCTGCCTGCAATCCCTGCAAACGACTTATGAATGCAGGAGTTAACATTTTCTATAGCCAGTTCAGATGTCAAATCATGCTAGTTGCTGTAGCAACCCTCGTTAAAATTCAATATATACAATATGTGACCTTCACGGTGAAGAGTACCACCATCCAGTCTGTGTGCTAGAGACATTAGCATATATCTGCCGTACAAAAGTCCTTTGGACACACAGAATGAGACCAGTTTTCATATAATGCTCGATGACTAGAACATGCTTCACTGCAGCAAATAAACCCATTTTATAGTGATCATCACACGGATAAGCGCAAATGCAGACCCTTGGTCAGTGGCGCTCCACCTTTGATACAAAGTCCGCCTTGAGAGGGAAGCGTGACCGAGGGAAGATGATGGCGACAGACTTCTTCCCTGATTAAAGCGACCTCTAATTACCACACACACACACACAACGCGGACGGGGTCCTCTGCTGAGTGTTTTATTTCATAGTTAACATGCTCCAATTCACCTGTCCCCGAGAGGCGCAGCATGCACCTCTCTGTTTTGCCTTTGGCCTCCTCAGCTACTGGAGATGTCTGCTGTTTCTCTAAACTGGAGTGGAAGCCTGCTCCTAATCATTGCAATCACTCATCCAAAAAAGGACCTCCCTCCCTAAAAACAAAGCTATTTTTAGGTCCTATGCGCTGGTCTGATTATCATTGATTTGACTAAAACGATGGTCCTTGAAAGCTCAGTGGGCTCAATGGAGCTGCCTCAAAATTTTACCAATGATGAAGGCAATTATTGCTGATTTCATGTCGGCCGTGTTCCGCTGTCAGTCTGCAATTTCATGCGTCTCTGCCACTGGGGAAAATCTGTGATGCAAGGCTAAATTAGATTTGCTCATGATGTGTTTGACTGGCACCCATTATGTGCAATGGACAAATGGGAGCTGCGTGGAAAGGAGGGGGGTGGGTAACATTGGTTATATCTCAATTCTCCTGTTTTTTTTCTTCTAAAAGCTGGTCCCCATTCATGGGTGATTAACAGGCAGATCAGGAAGGTGGGCAGTGTTGCTTGGGTGGCTTTGACTAATCTAACTACTGCTGCTGCCTCGCTTTGTTAACGGCCGCTACAGGCCGGCTTTGCAGACCCCACATATGCAATAAATAGAAAACGTTTCAAACAACCAGATAGAGCTCCAGTGTCACAGCATAAACCCCACATGCACAGCGTTATGCAGCGACAGAAAGTGACTCGGCAAACAACTCCAGAGATTTAATCAGAAATATCGGCTGCGGCTGAAGTTAAACCGGAGTCCACCCTGAAAGCTTCAATGCCGTGAAATATCGGTAAAGCATAACATAACGAATATGCAGTGGTTACTGATTCCAATGGGTGCATTATTCAACATTTGAACAACACACTATATTGCTTCAGTTGTGAAAACTGAATGGAAAAGCTATACCTGCATGTACTGTAACCACTTCCTTCTTATGTTGCAGCCCCCTTCACACATTTGTCAACACGTCAACTTTTTTATGATGCATCGTTCAGCAGCCAGGGCAACTGCAGTTTAAATACTAGACGTGGGGAAACAAGCAATTGCACCATAGTTTTGAGAAACAGGGTGATATATCTTAACATCTCAATAGACCTGCTCTTCCAACAGCCATAGAAATATTGCTCCACCTAGTGGAGGCAGCCGCTGTGATGTTACAGAGAAGCATCCGAGCCATTCGAACCCTCGTTTCTCTGTGACAATATTACTGGCTCTTCTATACCCAAACATCCACGTGAAGTGTAAAAGCGGGGCCGAGAGCAATTTTTCCCAATCTATCTTTGTCAGCGTACGTGCACGACCGTGCACGAGCCTCGCGCGATAGACCGTTTTTTTTTTTTTTCCAGAGGTGGCACTTTGAAACAAGAAGATGAAACAACTACATTACAAAGCGCGGTGAGCGGAAGAATACGGATCATTTAACAATACCGACGGATGCACCGAGCAAACTTGCAGAAGAGGGGCGGGGAGGGGGGGGGGGTGTATACAATAAAAAAACAACAAAAGAAAACATTGCCTCCCGCGGTTGTCCTGAGACTTTTATCCCAGACAGCACTGCGCTGAACGCGGTGCCCTATTTCCAGGCGGCTCCGTCTACCTGCGCCGCGGCCCCGCCCCTTTTCGGCTGCCCTCCTCGGAGTGCGCGTTGCACTCGTTGCAGTAGGAGGGTCCATGTGCGCAGAATGACGGCTCTCTGACTTCCAAGTCAATCCGACTCCTCCGTTTTGTTTTTTTTATTACTGTTTTTTTTTTTTCCCTCCCCTTTTTTTTCCTTCAAATCTCGGGCCCAGCATCGCTTAAAAAAAACAAAAAAAAATAGTTGCGGCCATAATGTGAGATCATCTCGCTGGTGTCGTCCGACCCCCCCCCCACCTCCTCCCCTCCTCCCCTCCTCCTCCTCCGTTCAGTCCTGTCAGGGAGCAGCGGCTCGCTGTGGAGGATTACTAGTGATAATACGCAGTAGACTTCACCGGTGTGTCTGCCTGTCAAAACTACCAAACTATGGTTCCGACAGAGTAGACGCGGCACGTTTCGTTGCGTGTGTTTATAGTGACTTTGCCTTGGCGTGTCTTTTCGCTGTTCTTTTTATTTTATTTTATTTTTTATTTTTTGCGTGGTCCTTTTTGGATTATCGCTGCCCAGCAACACGGCCACCTGACAACTCCGAATGTCGTAATCAAGGTAAGGAAGGACGCAGCTCGGTGTCTGACTGCACATCTTTTATCTTTTATTTTATATTATTGTTATGATATATGCGCCGGGCGTGAGGTTGAGAATGAAAGAAAGCTCCTCGCTGCTTGTGTGTCGGGTAACACTCGCATCCGCGGTCCATTTGCTGCGCAGGGGGAGACGTCTGATAACTTCGCGCCGGGACCGTTAGCTCCGCGTCCGGGGCTCCTTTTTTTTTTATAAAAGTCGCCAATAAGTTTGTGGACAATTCAAGTAAGCGCAATTATTTCAATAACAGATGTTACGCGTCTGTGAGCGTGTTATCGGAACATGGGCGCAGGACGTTTAGTGTGACGTCAAATTATTACCAACAAATAATTTATATTTTATTCTTTGTGCACTTGGTTTCTATTTACAGCCCAAAAAGTTGTCAACGAAACGACTTTAATACCAACTTCAAAGGCTACAATAAGGCAAAACTCGGTATTTGGTACTTAGTATTTAACCTGCGCAAACGCAAAATGGAGAGACACGCAGAGAGTTGCATGTCCTACAGAGACAGGAACATCGCGGCTGGAACCAATGGGAGGAATTAGCTCTCTGACATTTTTCTTTCTTATTTTTTTATTTTTATTCACGGACCTGCACACAATGTGCATATGGGACATTTAGCAGGCAACCTGATTTAACTTTTACTCAGATGCGATGGCTGCTCCACAACTGTGAGCCCGTCACAGAGCTGGCAACCCCCTGAAAAGGGGAATATTATAAGGGAATATAGCACCTAAAGCAACGCCTCATATCTGCAACCTGCTGCTCCCTCAAGTTTCTAATGGTTTGCCAGCGTTTGCTGTCGCAAATTTTGCACACGACGGAGCTTCTTCTGCTGCTGAGGCAACACCTGAAGTTATGTCGCAGCTATGTTGTGGCTGCAGGATCAGTAACTATTGAGTGACAGCTTTCCGAACCAACCCGTGAAGGGGCCCGATGACGCTGGCGTCCAATAGAGGCGCAGCCGAGGTGGGCGTTTAAAGGAACGGCACGGGCTACGTCACGTGGGCACATTAACCCTTCGCGGGGCGGGTCCTTGTTAAGTTATGAGACTGCGCCTCCCCTGTGGTGCGGTGATGAGGAGGTGTGGAAGTTGCTTTGGTCTTTTTCAGATTTTCTTCTAAATCCTATGTGGATTTTTTTTTGTAGATAGAAAAATTGTAATAATTGCCTGAAGGTACTTACCCTTAATACAACCGATTGCTTAAAAATTGTTATTAAACCAATGACTTGTGTGCATTCAATTTTCATTTTCTTCCCCATTTTGCAGGCGAATCGATGAGCCAGCTATGGAGACCAAAAGATACCAAAGTTTCTTTGATGGAAGTGACACAGAGAACAGATGGCCGCAAGTCCCCATCACCATGGAGAACTGCTGCAGCACGGAGGATTCAAGTCTGACTAGCGGCGATATCCTGATGGACATAGTCAACGTCAGCTGCGCCGCCGGAAGCCCGGCCGCCGACTGCAAAGAAACCAATACGAAGAAGCAGGAGCAGCCGGTGCTTCGGCTCGGCCAGAACCAGGCGTTTGTTCTCCCGCACTTCAACAACAACTCCCTTCATTGTCATAAGCAGGATATGGACTCCAAAGAGCTATCCAAGACCGTGGCTGAGTCTATGGGCCTGTATATGAATGCTGCCAGGGAGGCAGACTTTGCCATTAGCCAGCATGGGGGCAGTAGCAGCCCTGGGAAGATGTACGCCGTGTGTGGACGGGCCCTGGAGGAGGCCCAGTGTGGATCCACGAAAAGCCCCAAGTTAAAGCCATTCGGGTTCCAGCAGCCCAGCACCACTCCCAGAGAACGCACCACTGGGACTCCGGTTAGTTCGGCCTCAATGTTGGCCTCATCTCTGTCCTGCAGCCCCCAGACGTCCAGCGCCATCTCCAGCCCAGGGGGCAGCAACAACATGGTGTCGTCGACCACCAGTCCCCCCACGTGTTTCGGACTGGTGTGCTCGTCCGCCTGCAGTCCTGTCAGCCAGACGCCCTGTTCTGCAGCTTTGGCCAACATCAAGCGCAGGAATTCAGCCACATGTAGCCCCGTGGAGTCCAGCACGGTGGGCTCGCCGCCTCTCACCAGCCCGCTCAACGTCATGAGGTCACCCTTGTCCAGCCCCCGGAGTATGAGCAGCGTGAGATCGCCTCCGTCCTGCAGCACCACCTGTAACATTAGGTCATCTGTGTCGAGCCCCACGGGTGGCTGCTGCACCAGCACTGCCAACAACGGCATCACAGCAAGGCCCTCCGTCTCCAGTCCGGCCAAAGGGGGCGCTATGGCTGTCAGCAGCCCACAGAACCCCCCCTCAGGTGGCTTTCCGCTGTGCAGTCCCGCCAGCGGACTGGGTTTGGTGCAGAATGACACCAACAGCCCAGAAGCGGCAGGTCGGACCAGAGACGCGGACTTCAACAACTTTGAATTCCCTAAAGTAGAGATGGTAGACGGGGAGGTGTTCAACGTCGGCTTAGACCAGATGGGCATGGTTAAGTACATTAAGAACGAGCCTGGAACGGACTTCAGGAGCATGTGTTTAGGCAGCTCCAAATGTAGTGGGAGTAGCACACCTTTCATCACACAGATCAAGAGCGAGCCAAACCAAGATGAGGGATGTATGAACCAACAGCCGTATGGTGAGCACTCGCCATCCCATAGTCTCTATCCTGCATCTGAGACAACCTACCTGTCCCTGAGGAATAACATTGATGAATACAGTCTTTCTGGTATCTTAGGACCCCCTATCCCCTCTATGAATGGGACCTACGATCCCGATGTGTTCTCCAACAATGTCCTGTCTAAAGGGGTTAAGCAGGAGACCCCCGATGGCAGCTATTACCTAGAGAATAACAGCCTGCCCGCGTCGGCCATTGTTGGAGTTAATTCCGGCGGGCATTCATTCCATTACCAGATTGGAGCGCAAGGAACAATGTCTTTCACGCGGCACGATGTGAGGGACCAGTCCAACCCTTTATTGAATCTAATTTCGCCCGTAACGGCGTTAATGGAGTCGTGGAAATCTCGGCCGGGCATGTCACAGGGCTCACTGTCAGCCAGAGGCGAGGGATACCTGGGTCAGAACTGCATCACGGACAGCTTGAGCAGGTAAGGACAATGGAGACACCTCTATGAGTGTATCTATCGCGTCACACCTCTGGCTTGAAAAAGTTGTGACAAGTATTAAAAAGTCCAGCTTTACAAGAGAGGAGTTTTTCTTTCTTCTTTCTTCTGCTCGTACACTAGTTTGTTACAGTCAGGCTCGTATTACACAAGGGACTAAGGGCGTTTGCTTTGAACAGTGCTTAAATAATAACAGCGGGGCTTGGGAAAGGCAGCGGGATGCTGGCGGGGGGAACAGGAATTAAAGGACGGGATCCAGGTCATTGTTATAGTAGCATGTGATCACAACATCATCCCTGCTAACACTGCCCTGTGGTCTACTGTAAAACAGAGGCAAAGTTGACCTCTTATCAGATCAGGGGCTTGTGTGTATGTACAACAACAATGTTTATTGATTTGTTATCCAGTGGTCCAGCTAAGACCTTGTCTAATGCGCATATCTGTTTTTATGGGCCCTAAGCCATTGGCAGCATCATATATAATGATTGATTACATGCGTTTGTTGCCAAACTGATGAAATAAATAGTTTATTTTGTGAGGGTGGGGGCTGTAACAAAACAAACAGGCCAAAGGAAAAAAATAAATCTATAATTGGCGCCAATCTGGCAAAGTGCAACTTTGACACAGTTGTTGTGCTTGCAGTGTGTTGTAGTGTCCCAGTTGCACGTAAAGCCAAAGGAAATAAATTATCATCAAGATTAATAACAGTGAATATCAAAGCCATTATCCTGACCAATAAACCCATGATAACAATGTTGAAAATGCTGCAGTATAATCACAGTAAGATGCCGTAAATCAGAAGAAAGGTTTTCAGTGTAGGGAATCTGGGTATACGATTTATGTGGATTTTAACAGCATTAACTGCCTCTTGGTGTTATTAAAAATGACATATCTATCATGTATTAATGCATGTGATGCTATAAATTCATACTATTTATGAGTTGGCACAAAGTAGCACTACCCAAAGTCGTAGGCGACTTCCTGCTTTGTTGATAAGAGTCAGACACTTGCTGTAAGAGAAGTACAGTATTTTACCTGATGCTGATATGTGGTGCACGCGGCTCTGCTATCTACTGCTGTGACTTGACCGTGGCCATTCCAGGCCGGCTTGATGTTGCACAGAATCTCAAGATTGAGATTTATTAAATCAAAAGCTTTTCTTGATTAAATTTGTCAAAACCGACTGTGCAGATCTCACTGATTGCTGTGCTACGTTCGGTTGTCTAGTTTTGATTTTCTACAGCTTCTGCCTTTCAGATTGTAGTCTCAGATTGGAGGAAGAACTGGGAAAAGGTTTATCGGTGTTACATCAATTTCTTTTCTAGTACATCTGCAAACTGATTTACTGTAGCAAAATGCACATCGGTGGTTGTCTTTTCAAACATAAAAACCACGTTAGATTGATTACACTCATTGCACTTTTGTATTTCCTGTGGCAAACATGTATCGTAATCATGTTGTGTGTCCGTATTTATTCACACTGCACCTAACCCTTAGTTTTTACCTGATTATCTTATCATCAGGGTTATATTGGTCTGCTCTGGTTGACATGTTTATTCAGCTTTATATATACAGTACACACACGCCCAGAGAGCAGATACTCCGTGTGTGTGTGTGTGTGTGTGTGTGTGTGTGTGTGTGTGTGTGCGCGCACAAGACTTCCAACTCCGAGGAGACCGATACGGTCCCCGTTACCTTGGAGGCAACCCATATGGCAGGAGCCGAAGCGATGTTGACGGCATCACTGCCACCTGGGTCATAATGAGATCCACCTTAGTCCTAATGTCAGACAGGATGACAGCTAGAGTTGGGCCACATGGCAGCCAGCCAGCCAGGCGAAGGAGCAGATAGACACAAACACACATATACATACATACATACAATTATATACACAGACATTACCTGGAAACAGAAATGGCTTTGGTGAAATGCGAGAATACACATTCTTTTAGACATGGATGGCTATTTTCAGTGTCCTGTTGCACCGGTAGTATTGTATTGATTGACAGCTATACTTAGGCATATCCTGCCTGAAATCTAAAAATGCTCTGGAGGAAATCTGTGGCCCTGCTGATTGTTGGGCTCACTGTGGTGCGAAGGCCCAATATATTATAGGCAAAAAAAACCCCTTCAGTAACCATTAAAAAGCACAACTAAAACCCTTTGATCCGCCGAAGCGTTGGATGACAGTGTGTAAAATCCCGTGGCGCGTTTTTTTTCCTCACTTTGGATTCCTGTGTAAATGGTTTTAATTAAATATGGCTGCTCATCTGAGCAGTCTGGATTACTTTGCGCAAAAACCTTTTGACTTAGATTCACAAGAGAGAAGAAAGGGGGGAAACTAAATAAGTCGCCCTTGCCAGAATTGTCGTTTTCATGTAATGTTTTATTTAAAATGAATGCTAAATTGAACAAACAAGGTCCAGAATGGTGAATTGTACGTGATTATTGGATGACATTTATTTAATACAGAAAAATGCATTGCTTTATTTGTTCTCTTGAAGACTATTTAAGTGGTGTGGACTGAAGGTTTAAGCCCATTATGAAGCAAGTCAGATTCATATGAAATATTAAAATATGTAAATGATCATTAGATGACCTACATTTGTGTGCTGGATTATGTTTGCTCGCTGTCTAAATCTCCAAATCTCTTTTCACCCTATTTAGGGTATTTTTATCCTGGTTTTCACAGCGATGGTTTGCCAAATAGAATTACTTGTCAGCCCTGTGACCTAATAATTTTATAATCTGACAAATGGTAAAAACTCAGAACATAAAACTACAATGTATTCTTCGTTTAAACAAGGGGAAAAGTAGCACTTAGCCGCAGGCCGACATTTCCCTCGCTTCCAAGCTTGCAGCCCGACCGTCAGAGTGTCCGTCATGAGGAGGCACCAGATTCAAGCAGGGAGGATGCTTTGCTCTGGACTCTGGCCAACCCTCAATGTTCTGCAGAGGGATGAAAAGGCATACTCCTGAGAGCAAACTAATAAGGCTTTAATTGTATGTTCCTCCGCTAAATTAATGGATGGAAATGAGTTGATTAATTCAGACAACGCTGGATACTAATCTCCAATTTAATCCCCACACCGGGCATGCACAGGGGCCTCCCAGTGCATTATGGGTCCCTGACTATAAAGCGGGCAGCTGCTGGTTTGGGTTGTTACAGGTGTAGGTGTTGGGGCTTTGTGGATGTTACGTTATATATTTGTTAAGTGTTACTGTATATCTTTCATCATCATATTATTAGTATTATTTAATTTTAAATTATATAAACTGAAAAAGCTTTAAGTATTTTTTTCCAGCCTTCAACCCTCTTGATTTATCGGCATTTAATGAATGCCAAGTAGCCTATTCTCTTGAATCTGCAGAAACTCTTGATAACTCATATGTCAGCCTGATAAGATGAGCAAGTGCAAGTCAATTTGAGAGTTCACTCTAAAATCAAATTCTTCTGTTACTGATGTATTCGACTACCGACCGTACATCGATAAAAATAATGCGACGGTGGACGACAGGAACCTTGAATCTTGAACTCAGTTCTTAGTGAACAGTCATTCTCAAAATAAATAAAATAATTTGCTGGTACAATCATTTAAAGCAAAGACAGCAGGTGCAAACTGTACATTTACCTTTAACGGCATAGAAGTACTAATGATTGTACTCTTCCAATGGTTCCTCCATATGTTCCTAATCTGGAAACGTTATTTTTCCACATAAAAAGACAATTAAGTTCAATTAAGGCGGTTGATCAAAATTGTTGAACAAAGATACAGGTAGAAACCGCTACACTCATGTATAAATTGACGTGATGTTACAATTGTCAGTGAACCATATGTCTCATGTCTAAAACATATTGATGAACATCAAAAATGTCCTCTAATCGGTTGTCATGGCACTATGGGACAAGCGCTAGAATAAATCGCCGTCTGTGTACGCTGTCTTAAGGTCATACTTTTAGTGCAACACAGAATGATGAAAAACCACTCGTCCTCCCAAGCAGATAATAGCCATGTTTTCCCATTGAGCACGAGGATAAAGACAGTCAGCGCAAGAGGTTCTTTAGGGTTTCAACCCCATGAATCAGTCTAAAGTGAGGAGCTTGACACCGTCTGGCTCATGGAGGGAAGAAAACTACTTCTATACTGATTGACCTTTAAAAATATATATATTTTGTGTAATAGGATTTCTCATGTCCAAGGACAGCCCTGAAGCATCTGATCCACCTGAACCTGTTTCATACAGACAATCAGCTGAATGGAACATTTTTTCAATGTTTGCATGAGCATCTTTGCATGGCAATAAAAGAAAATACAATGCACATCTACTGTGAAACAATCTAAAGAAATAAAACACCTGAATGGAAATATTTGAAGTATACCTTGAGCGCAGAAGATCCAGTTCTTTGCCTTTTTCTGGGCAGCCCATCACTCATTAGTGTGGGTGGATTTGAGGCTGTGTAGAGCCGACTGCATTTAAGGTATGAAAGACGGTGTTGTTAAGAAACCGGGCTAAAAGAAAAGCCCATTTAGAGGTATTTTACACCCTGGATGTCAGGTGTGAAGGATTTCTTTTGGGGTTAAATTGCTGCTGGGAATCAGTAAATCTGTATGTGCACAGATGATATTTTTACATTTCTCTCAGAGGAGAAGCTGAGCGCCGTTGTGCTGTTAACGCTGTTCCTTCTCTCACATCACTATGTACATTTGGTTCATTTTTGCTCGGCTCGACTACCCTACAAATCGCCATTAATTGATACAATGGACTTTCTCGATTGGCGCTTTGTCAAGCCCCGCCCACTGCCTCTTCTCTCAAGCAGCATGGAGCCCACACGGTCACAAACTGCACGTAAATATCGTCCAACTTTTAGAATAACGTGAAAGCGAGAATACGTCTACAATATGCAGATGTATAATAATAATAATAATAATATAACAAACTGATTCAGCAGTGGAAAGAGGTTAAAAAGATGAAGGTGGAAGATA